AGGGTCTTGAGACAGTTGAATTGTTACATATGCAGCTGGGAGCAGAGGAGGGACTTGAAACAGTTGAATTGTTACATATGCAGCTGGGGGCAGAGGAGAGACTTGAGACTGTTGAATTGTTACATATGCAGCTGGGGGCAGAGGAGAGACTTGAGACAGTTGAATTGTTACATATGCAGCTGGGAGCAGAGGAGGGACTTGAAACAGTTGAATTGTTACATATGCAGCTGGGGGCAGAGGAGAGACTTGAGACTGTTGAATTGTTACATATGCAGCTGGGGGCAGAGGAGAGACTTGAGACAGTTGAACTGTTACATATGCAGCTGGGAGCAGAGGAGAGACTTGAGACAGTTAAACTGTTACATATGCAGCTGGGAGCAGAGGAGGGACTTGAGACAGTTGAATTGTTACATATGCAGCTGGGAGCAGAGGAGGGACTTGAGACAGTTGAACTGGTACATATGCAGCTGGGAGCAGAGGAGACACTTAAGACTGTTGAATTGATGAGATAATGCTTGACCACCTAATGTGGAAAGGTGGAGTAACATCCGTGGAACTGATTCAGAATACCAAGAACTGAGATCTGTGGAGAGACATGGGTGCCTGCACCGCCTTGCAATGTACCTGATGATGATGATAATGGTGATGTTTTTTTATATTAGCTGTATATATGCTGTATTCATTACAGTTGTATTCTCATTATTGTGTAGTTTCACCTAGGTTGCATTTTTGTTTGGCTGATGAAGGTATTTTTTGCCTCAACATCCAGTTATTACTGTGCTGTTATTCTTTGATATTTATGCTTACTACGTGCACACTGTGGTATATACTCAAACATTCCACTTTTTCCACTTTGCCATAAATAAATTGAAGTAATTTGAATGCCCTATTGTTACGCCTTTATATGAACAGGACATATGATGCTCACTTGGTATTGATATCAAGCAAGCAGCACTGGGCGGCTGATGTGGTCATGATGGCTCTCTCACCTTCAGAGAACCTTCCGTGGTAGACATTTTTGGCTACAGCTTCTGCCTGAGCTTTTAAAAGGGTGGTTATATTGTAGTTTGCAGCTAGGCTGTGGTATCTGCACTTTTTGGCCCAGCATATCTGATTGCAGCAAAATCCTTAAGTAGTTTCCTTTTATGACATGCTTGTAAAGGGGCATGGGGCTGTTTTCCCCCTCCCACTTTTTCCCCTCACCCCCTCCTCCCACCCCCAGTGGGACTCCAGTAAATTCTAGTTTTTTTTCTTGCCTATAGATGCACACTGAACCGTGTAGCCATATTTCCGACATTACATCATGGAAAAGGGGGAGGGGGCAAAAGGGGGGGGGGGGGTGACTTTTAAAGTGGTTCTTGATTTCAGAGTGTGCATGCTTACATGCACACACACACACATAAAGCTTCTTTTTTTGCAGCTTGGGTGTCAATGGAGAAATAAGGTTCTGCATCTTGCTATCTTGTCCCTTGCTTTCTTGTCCCTTGCCTCAGTCATAGATACATCATTGATGTTGTAGAGTTTCTCTGATGTCATCTTTGTAAAAATAATTACCAGTGAAAACGTCTTCTTTTTCCTCCTGCTCCTCCTCTTTCTTCTTCTTCCTCTTCTTATTCGTCTTCTTCATCATCATCATCTTCTTCTTCTTCTTCTTCTTCTTCTTCTTCTTCTTCTTCTTCTTCTTCTTCTTCTTCTTCTTCTTCTTCTTCTTCTTCTTCTTCTTCTTCTTCTTCTTCTGCTTTGATCCTTATAAAAATATTCCATAAACCGGCATCAGGAAGTGGGCGGTAACTTTTATGAAAGCTGTGGTTGAGTCCAGAACTGCTTGCCTACCATAAAGCTTTGTCCTCATTGAGGATGGAACATCTCAGACTGCTTCTCTGCTCGCAAAACAACAACACTTGTGGCCCCATCTACCACTGACATAGAAACTGGTCCTTTGTCTGTATATGTTTTTATGTTTATGATATTTCCAAATTGTATCGTTTTCTTTGTTATAAATGGAAGCGGGCATAATATTATAGTTATAAATTATATTATCTGGGTTTATTTTAAGCTATAAATGAATTAATAATAAATTGGAGTTCTAAGATAGTTGGAGTTTGTGAGTGGTTATTGATTCATTATCTGTGTCATTGTGTATGTTTTCTTTTATTGTTGTCTGTCCTCGTTGTTGTATATTTTGCCCTAATTGTTGTATGATGCCATCACTGTTGTATTTTTGTCATCATTGTTGTTTGTTTTTCCTTATTGTTGTTAGTCCTATTTGTTGTATGTTTTCTGTCAGAGAAGGTTGCCCTTATTGATTTTTGTCCTCGTCCTTAGTGTCGAATGTTTGCCCTCATTGTTGTATGTTTGTTCTTGGTGTTGAAAGTCTTTCCTCATTGTTGTATGTTTGTCCTCATTGTTGTGTTTGCCCTCACTGTTGTATGTTTGTCCTTATTGTTGAATATTGTGTCTTCATTGTTGTTTGTCCTGACTGTGTGTTTTCTCTCAGTGTTATAAGTTTGCCATGATTGTTGTATGTTTGTCCTCACTCTGGTATGTTTGTCCTTAGTGTTGAATGTTTGTCCTCATTGTTACATGTTTGTGTGTTGTTTGTTTGCCCTCTGTGTTAAATGTGTGCTATCATTGTTGCATGTTTGTCCTCAGAATGGTGTGCTCTCAGTATTGTATGTTTGCCCTTAGTATTGTATGTATGCTCTCAGTATTGTATGTTTGCCCTTAGTATTGTATGTATGCTCTCAATATTGTTTGCTTGTCCTCATTGCTCTATACTTGCCCTCAGTGCTGTTTGTTTGCCTTCTGTGTTGTATGTTTGCCCTCAGTGTTGTATGTTTGCCCTCAGTGCTGTATGTTTTCCTTCTGTGTTGTATGTTTTCCCTCAGTGTTGTATGTTTGCCCTCAGTGCTGTATGTTTGCCTTCAGTGTAGTATGTTTGTCTTCAGTGTTGTATGTTTGCCCTCAGTGTTTAATGTTTGCCTTCAGTGTTGCATGTTTTGCCTTCAGTGTTGTGTGGTTGTCCTCATTGTTCCATGATTACCCTCAGTGTTGCATTTTTGCTCTCAGTGTTGTATTTTTGAACTCCATGTTGCATGTTTTTCCTTAGTGTTATGTTTGCCCTCAGTGTTGGTATTTGCCCTCAGTGTTGTAAATTTGTCCTGAGTGTTGTATGTTTGCACTCAGTGTTGTATGTTTGCTCCCAGTGTTGCTATTTGCCCTCAGTGTTGTAAGTTTCTTCTCAGTATTGTAGGTTTCCTCTCATTGTTGAATCTTCTTTTCTTCATTGTTGTATGTTTGCCCTCAGTTTTATAATATGTTTAGGCTCAGTATCGTATGTTTGCCTTCATTTTTTTTTAGGTTTATTATTGTTGATATTTTACATTGATTAAATTTGGAGGTATTTAAGGACCTGAAGGGGATGAAACTGGGTGGAGAATTTTAGAATCCCTAAGGACATCCTCTACGGTGAATTATAGATGTGTAGAAGATGTCCAGGTTGGTCTCTACTAAGCTGTTATGATGTGTTCAAACGGGGCTTGAATGATACCAGTATTGCGGTAGCAGATTCAAACAAGTATGAAACCTCATCAAGCAGTAAGCCAGTACCAAACTACGTCAATAGACATAAGTTAAAATGGTTCGGACATGAGTCAAGACCAACACCTGATAGCCCACAAGAGAGAGAGAGAGAGAGAGAGAGAGAGAGAGAGAGAGAGAGAGAGAGCCCTGCCACTTAGGCATAGAGAAACTAGAGGTCGACTACGTAAACCATGGATAGATGAAATAAATGAGGCCTTAAATTCCAAGGAGAGGAGTTTGATCCCAGCTGCGGGCGATGTGTTAGCAGACCATCTTGCATTGATTCCGACAGTGGTATTAAGAGCCGACCTTTTAGTAGGCAAGGACAACATACTGAACTCAGAAATTGTTTAGTAAAATCTCAAACAGCAAAGAACTTGCTTGGGCTGCTTCTGCAAAGTCATGTAAATGACAAACTAATACATTGTTTAATTCTCTTAACATGAATGGGTATTGCTAGGCACATTCGCCATAGGCTTGGATTCGCAAACGTCACCACCTGGCAGGATAACATTGTCTGGAAAGATGGAAAAGTGGTAAAAGTGAACTCCTTGAGTTAAACCAGAAGGTTTTACTGGAGATACCAATGTGTGTACGAACAAAACTACTGCCCTAGAGCAAGAGGCAGACCGAGGGTACGATGGATAGACAATATATCAGAGATCCTGAGGCAACACGGACTAACAACAACACATACCTGGCCCAGGATAGAAAACTGCGACTCCCCACTACGCTGTGAGGCAATTGTGGACAAGACAAGACAAGACCAATGTGTATAAATAAATACTTGAAAAATCCACCAGTTTACTGATTTTGAAGACGTTAAATACTGGGACAGTCAGATTTCTGAGTATGCTGTGACCAACTATGGAAAGGACTAGAACACACTAAACATTGGGTGGGACTGACAGAAGTGCTAATCACACATCGCACGTTGTTTGGGACTGAAGAAGTTTTAAGAAACCGACCCAGTTTTAAGTTTGATGGTTTTGATGGCGTCAGAGGCAGGGAGAAAGAGAGAGAGAGAGAGAGAGAGAGAGAGAGAGAGAGAGAGAGAGAGAGAGAGAGAGAGAGAGAGAGAGAGAGAGAAAAGGGGGGGGGGGGGGGGAGAAAGAAAAAAAACTCCTTTCGAAAAATTTTATTCTGTTTCCTTAGCTTGATAAACTATGAATGTTACACCGAGAGAAAAACAAAAGTCCCGATTTTAGCAATTATTACATGACACTTATACAGCGTTTTGTTTGTAGGCACACACCTTCACTGGAATAGAAACACTTCAAATACCGAATGGCAAAGACTCAAGCTGTTGACTAAACACAGCAAAAAAAAAAAAAAATGAAATGAAAGTACCAGAGTCCACATACTCGTTCTTATACATTTCCTGAAACCGGGAATACCAGGTATTGTGAAGGCCGCGTTTATCCGGAGAACTTTCCTTGGACTAAAATCTGCAGGCTGACTTTGTCGCGAACGAAGAAGAGGAAAGGTCGGTCAGCGTTGAAGGTCACTTGTGGGTTTTGTTGGTTAAGCGGGCCTGGCTGTGGTGCCGGTGCTGGGGCGACAGGGATGGTGCCAGCCTCGGTGATCTCAAAGAAAAGGCTGTGGACGAGCTGGCTCACGTGTAACCGGTCTGCAAGTACAAATATCGGTAAAACAAACGTTATTCTCCCCATTTACACAGTGTTACACACTAGCTCACTTCTGATTGGTCGACCTTCAGCCTATCTCACTTCTGATTGGTCGACCTTGTACCACGTTAACTTGCCACAAGGTTACGGGGGTTTCCCGAAATGCCGTTCATATCAAGTGTTTCAGCACGCCAGCCCTTTAAACACTCCAAAAACATCGACAAACTGGTTCTAACACAAAACCCCTTTAGAGAGTGATGAAACTTATGTCACAGGCATTCGCTTTCTCGGAATAAAAACGAAAATGCAAGACAACCCCGAAAGCAAACAACAGAGCGGCACACCCGTAACCTGCAGGAAGGCAGAATAGCCCAACAAACTTACGAATGGAACGTGACCTACTTTGTTTGGGTAGACTAACGTTTGTTTAACCCAAATATCGCACTGGATAACCTATCCCAATCATACCATAACCCGTGACCCGTTAGGGTTGTGAAGGTGCATCGAGGGAAGCATTAGAACGCAAAATCCGCATCACCCTCACAGGACTGCGATGATCTGTTTGTTCCTCTGAATGTTACCCATGCTTCCGCAGGGCCTTAACAATGTCTACCTTATCATGCATCAATGTTTGACCAAGTTGTGCAGAGCCAGCTAATCTGTCCATGCACTAAAGGTTGTTGCGTATCCTGTACAGGACGTTGCAGAACCAACCCAAACAGCCCCTGGCTGTTGTGTGGTTTCTCTAGGCAAATTTACGTCCAGTAGTTTGCCATTTCTTCCTGGACGGTCAGCTTCCTTGATACGACTGTCGAAACCAACGCAAGGCCCATGGCCAGCAGTTGGGATCGAACCCGGCATCCCGGCATTATGTAGCGTTTGCATCGACTTAGCCACAGAGCCGACGCATGCACTAAAAAGTCTTTAAAAGCGGCCCCAAAATTGAGCAATTTGGCTAATGCTAATTACAAATATTTTCTTAACATCCCACCCCCCACCCCTCACCGTTTTCAATTTTTGTGTGTACCACGTGTGTCAAATAGTAGAGTAGATGTTACACCCTATTAGGACATAACACAAGCGACAAACACCTGATGACACAAAGTGCCATGTGGATGAGGGTCACCCGTGGAGAGGTCCCAGAAACGGCGTTCATCCAGTAGACCATATTTATGGTCAGGCTATTTTGCGTCCCCTGGCAAGAGCCACGGTAGGGCTAAAAAATAACGAAAAATTGCATCTGACAAAGAGATGACTAGGTGTCAAATATGCGAGGTAGGTCCCTGTATACTGGGGTCCATGATAAAAACTTAGATGAAAACATCTGCAAATATAAAAGAGTGAAAAAAAAAAAATCACCAGCAACTGGCCATTTAGGGTTCAGATATGAATATGATGGTTGATAATGTTTCAAATTGATCTTCTTCTTCTTTTTCTTCTTCTTCGATCCTTCTGTCGGAAAACAGGTAGCCTTGATGAAAGCTATCATGCAGTCAATATCTTCTCGTGTACCATACAGTTTTGTCTTCAATGAGGTTGAAACAGGCCAGAATGCGACTCTGTTGTCAGCATATAGTTGACAGTGTTGTAGCACATGCTCAGCATTTTCGGGTGCCAAATGCAGGGACACGTCTCCGTGTTTCCTACACCGAAAAGTTTGCACATATGTTGACGAAGTCTGTTGTGCCCTGTCTTTAGTCTATTGGTGATATCCGCTATTTTTTCCCTCTGGTGTATACAAGGCACAACCTGGATCACTCCCCATAACAAGCTGGCAGCGCTATTGTGTTTTCATGACTGATAATATTTGATTTATAATTTAAAAAAAAAAAAAAAACTGGAAGAAACAAAATATTATAATACCGAAACTGCTTGACGCCTCCCCGCCCCCCCCCCCCCCCCGGCCCCCGCCGTTTCCACCTTTCGCCCTTTGAAACGTTCTTACAGTTAATCATGTGACCCCTCCCCCTTTCCCCCTTCTTTGTGTGGAGGCTCGTCGCCTAGGTTGAAAGCAGCTGGTCTAAAATATAATATCAGTTTAGCACTATATGGCCAAGTTCTGGGAAGTAAAGGCGACCAAAGTGATGTTGACCACATCACTCCAAGTGTCAAAATGTCAATAAAATAAATGTCTAGCCCTATATGCCCAAAAGGGAAAACAACAATAGACCCACTGCCTACCCAAAAAACATGTCGTAACAGTCTATTAATTGGGAGCTTTCTTCGAAGTCAGAGTGTATCTGCCTGAGAGGCAAGGAACCAACAGTCTGCACACAAATGTTTCAGATCTGTCAAACGGATGCACACGCAACACTCAGGTTCTGGAACAGAACTGTAGTCCAGAAGTGGACGAACAACTAAAACTTTCCACCAGAGTTTACAGCTAGTGAACGCAAAGAAGAAGAATATGCCCAATACGCCTGAAGATAGTAGTACATTTTACCTTACTAGGACATCACACAAGCGATAAACACCCGATGACACGAAGTGCCACCATGTGGATGATGATCACCTATGGAGAGGTCCCAGAAACCGCGTTTTGCCATTAGACCATATTTATGGCCAGGTTATATTGCGGCCCCTGGCAAGAGACAGGGTGGGGCTTCGAAATAACGAAAAATTGCATCTCACAAGGAGATGACTAGGTTGTCGCCTGAAGATGTGGAAAAGCGTCCTTAAATATATCCAAAAGGCGCTAAAAGTAGCAAAAGGAGATCCCTAATGTGTTTACTGTCCAACATCTGGAAATCAAAGACACTTAGCAAACACACAAAACTCAAGATCTTCAATTCTTGTGTGATTCCAGTACTAACCTATGGATGCGAGAGCTGGAAATCAATGAAAACTCTAGACACAAAATTAGACAGTTTTGAAAATAAATGCCTTAGAAGAATACTAAATTTCAAATGGTCAGATTTCCGAACCAATACACAAATAAGGCAAGAATCCAGGCAAGAGTATGTGTCTAATTTTATACGAAAACGCCGCTGGAACTATGTCGGCCACGCCCTTAGAATGGATAAATCAAGACTTCCTTACCAAGCCCTCATTTGGACACCACAGGGGAAAAGATCTCGTGGAAGACCAAGGGAAACCCTACGTAGAACTATCATCGGGGAAGGCTCGCTCATGGGCCACTCAAACATCCAAGACCTACAACGGATTGCAACGGACCGCCGTGCACGGAGAGTCACGACCTCTGCCCTATGTGCCGCACTCGACACAAGAGGAAAGACTAACTAACTAACTAACTAATGTGTTTACTGTTGACGACAAGGGTCAATATATACTCACTCTCTGAGATGCCGCGCAGTTCAGCTTCTCGTTGAGAAAACACTCTGGTGATACCCAGCTGCTCCAATGGCTGCCTGAGGGAGAATTTCGAGAGCACCTTAAACCTGGGGATGCTGATTTTGGTATAGCAAGACTTCAGTTCTGTAAACAGCTGGTTGAAATTGTTCGGGTTGGTCAGCGAACCCTCTGTAAAAAGAGACACGTCACGTTTAACTAGAGCTGGCTATAATATCGTTAACTGAAAACAGGACATTCCAAACCAGCTAACAACCCCCCCCCCCTTGAGGAGACACAACCAGCAACTAACATTCCCCACCCCCCCCCCCCCCCCTTCCCCCCCCCCCTACACACCAAACTTTCTATAACTTATTATTTTATTGTGTATTATTATTCGACTTCAGATTAGGTTTTCGTAAACATAAGAAACTACATACTTGATACGAGGTGAGGTTTTGTAAATATGAGATACTACACAGTTAACACTATGCCGCATGAGATGGCAGTGATCGGTTCCAGGTTTCACAATGTCCCACAGTGGGTTGTCAAACGCATAAAGCTGCAGTCAACCGACCAGAAAATACAAGATCAGCTGAATAACGAAAATCCTGCACTAAAAATAATCAAGGCTGAAGGACTCCGTGCAAGACACAGCCCAGTGGCAGCGGCTCTGGCGACCACGGAAGGCGAGGTCATGCCAGATAGTCATGATACACCAGAGGATACAGAGACCTAAGCAGTACATACCACTTGTATTGCAGTGTTCCAAATGTCAGAAGGCATGGCATTCAAAATCAACTTGCCTCAGCAAACAGGATATTTGCAGGTACTGTACAGAGCCTCACCGTTTTAGAGAAGGTCCACTGGCTCAGAAGAAGGAGGACTTCCGAAAGCCCACTTCAAACAGAAATGTGCCAATTGCTCCGGTCAGCATGAGGCCAGATATCTGGGATGGTCATACCCACAACAGTGTAGATTAATGACGAAAACAGCCATCAAGAAAAACCTACCCTATAGAGATGCTCAAAGACACGAAGCACCCAAGAGCCTCATTGGATACAGAACAACTTCAAAGCCATATTACGAACCTGGGCATGAAAATAAAAACCCCACGAGAAGACAAAGAAGCAGGAGAACATGCACAGATACACAGGTAGAAGGAGGAGATAAAATAAATCATGAAGACCAGGCTGGAATTTCAAAGTCAGATCTCGAAATAATATACTTCAATAGAAGACTTTAAATCAGAAATAGTGTCTACTCAATGACACAAAGAAAAATAGTGTCTACTCAATGACACAAAGAAAAATAGTGTATTCTCAATGACACAAAGAAAAATAGTGTATTCTCAATGACACAAAGAAAAATAGTGTCTACTCAATGACACAAAGAAAAATAGTGTCTACTCAATGACACAAAGAAAAATAGTGTCTACTCAATGACACAAAGAAAAATAGTGTCTACTCAATGACACAAAGAAAAATAGTGTCTACTCAATGACACAAAGAAAAATAGTGTCTACTCAATGACACAAAGAAAAATAGTGTATTCTCAATGACACAAAGAAAAATAGTGTATTCTCAATGACACAAAGAAAAATAGTGTCTACTCAATAACACAAAGAAAAATAGTGTATTCTCAATGACACAAAGAAAAATAGTGTATTCTCAATGACACAAAGAAAAAAGTGTCTACTCAATGACACAAAGAACCACCAAGACCAACGAAGAACATACAACATCGTGGATATCGTACCTACCAAACCGAAATAAAAACCCTTAAGAAACATAAAAGCCAAAGCCAAGACAGATGAAAGAGCGAGGCAAGTTGTACCAAAGAAAACCATGAAAGAGCTGGTGAAACGATCCAACCAGACTTTAGACAAATGTACCAAAGAAAATCATGAAAGAGCTGGTGAAAAGATCCAAACAGGCTTTAGACAAATGTAAAAAAAAAAAAAAAAAAAAAAAAAAAAAACTATCAAAGAGCTGGTGAAACGATCCAAACAGACTTTAGACAAATGTACCACAAAAAAAAAAAAAAAATAAAAAACATGAAAGAGCTGATACAACGATCCAAACAGACTTTAGACAAGTGTACCAAAGAAAACCATGAAAGAGCTGATGCAACGAACTAAGCAGACTTTAAACAAATGTCCCAAAGAAAACCATGAAAGAGCTGTAAAACGATCCAAACAGACTTTAGACAAATGTACCAAAGAAAACCACGAAAGAGCTGGTGAAAAGATCCAAACAGACTTTAGACAAATGTACCAAAAAAAAAAAAAAAAAACTGTCAAAGAGCTGGTGAAACGATCCAAACATATTTTAGACAAATGTACCAAAGAAAACCATGAAAGAGCTGGTGAAACGATCCAAACGGACTTTAGACAAATGTACCACAGAAAACCACGAAAGAGCTGTAAAACGATCCAAATAGCCTTTAGACAAATGTACAAAAAAAAAAAAAAAAAAAAAAAAAAAAAAAACATGAAAGAGCTGATACAACGCTCCAAACAAACTTTAGACAAATGTACCAAAGAAAACCATGAAAGAGCTGGTGAAACGATCCAAACAGACTTTAGACAAATGTACCAAAGAAAACCATGAAAGAGCTGGTGAAACGATCCAAACGGACTTTAGACAAATGTACCACAGAAAACCACGAAAGAGCTGTAAAACGATCCAAATAGGCTTTAGACAAATGTACCAAAAAAAAAAAAAAAACCATGAAAGAGCTGACACAACGATCCAAACAGACTTTAGACAAATGTACCAAAGAAAACCATGAAAGAGCTGGTGAAAAGATCCAAACAGACTTTAGACAAATGTACAAAAAAAAAAAAAAAAAAAAAAACAACTATCAAAGAGCTGGTGAAACGATCCAAACAGACTTTAGACAAATGTACCACAAAAGACCATAAAAGAGCTGGTGAAACGATCCAAACAGACTTTAGACAAATGTACCACACACACACACACACACACACAGACACACACAAAACACATGAAAGAGCTTGTGAAACGATCCAAACAGACTTTAGACAAATGTACCAAAGAAAATTATGAAAGCTGGTGAAATGATCCAAACAGACTTAAGACAAATGTACCACAGAAAACCACGAAAGAGCTGGTGAAACGATCCAAACCGACTTTAGACAAATGTACCAATAAAAACCATGAAAGAGCTGATGCAACGAACTAAGCAGACTTTAGACAAATGTACCAAAGAAAACCATGAAAGAGCTGGTAAAACGATCCAAACAGACTTTAGACAAATGTACCAAAGAAAACCATGAAAGAGCTGGTGAAACGATCCAAACAGACTTTAGACAAATGTACCAAAGAAAACCATGAAAGAGCTGGTGAAACGATCCAAACAGACTTTAGACAAATGTACCACAGAAAACCATGAAAGAGCTAGTGAAACGATCCAAACAGACTTTAGACAAATGTACCAAAGAAAACCATGAAAGATCTGGTGAAACGATCCAAACAGACTTTAGACAAATGTACCACAGAAAACCATAAAAGAGCTGGTGAAACGATCCAAACAGACTTTAGACAAATGTACCAAAGAAAACTATGAAAGGTGTAGGTGTGCGTATGTGTAATTCTGTGCATGTGAGTGTGTGCACCTAGACCAATGACTTAACACTGCTGAGATTGTTCAGAGCTTCTAGCTGTATGTGTGTGTGTGTGTTCTTTCTCTGAGTGTTTGTATCCAGAACAGCGAGTCAGCATTACTGAGGTTGTTGCGCTTTTCTAGGTACTGTGAGTGTGTGTCCCTAGAGCAATGACCTAACATTACCCAAGTTGCTGAGACCCTCCAGGTGTGTGTGTGTGTGTGTGTGTGTGTGTGTGTGTGTGTGTGTGTGTGTTGGTGTGTGTATGTCCCTAGAACAATAACCCAAAATTACCCAGGCTGCTGAGGCCTTCCAACTGGTCGGGAAGAACGGCATAGAAGGAGATACGATCGCCAGCGAATGGCAGCTCTAGGACGGTGGAGCCGAGAACGTTGGTCCTCACGTTCGCGTACCTGATGTCGTTCATCAGCTCAACCTGACGGACGATAAGACAGCAAAGATGAGGTCAGTTAGTTCACACCTGGTACATCTCAGCCAATAAGCTTGGCACACATACAAACATCTCGACTAATAAGCTTGTCGCATAATAAGCATCACACAAATCTAAGCCAATCAGCTCGTCACAAATCTCAGCAAATAGGCTTGTCACATATCACGTCCAATCAGCTTGACACTAATCTCAGCCAATACACTTGTCACAATTCTCAGCCAATAAGCTTGTCACATATTTCGGTCTATAAACTTGACACAAATCTCAGCTATAAACTTGTCACAAATCTCGGAAAATCAGGTTGCCACGAATCTCAGCCTATCGGCTTACCACACATTTCAATCTATCAACTTGCCACAAATCTTAGCCAATGAACTTAGCACACATGCAAACATCTCAGCCAATAAGCTTGCAACACATACACATACACAACTCTTAAACAATAAGCTTGCAACACACACACACACACATACACACACAAGTCCCAGCGAATAAACTTAGCAAAAAATACTAGACCACACATATAACCGAATTGTGTTTGCAGCAAGTTGAACGTGGTCAACTTTTTTTTTCTTTTAACAATTGGAATCAATCTTTACTTGTACTCTCTTTACTTTACTTTTACTTTCAGTGCTTTACTTCGACTTTAACCTTACTTTACTTTTACTTTCATTGCTTTACTTCGACTTTAACCTTACTTTACTTTTACTTTCATTGCTTTACTTCGACTTTAACCTTACTTTACTTTTACATTCATTGCTTTACTTCGACTTTAACCTTACTTTACTTTTACTTTCATTGCTTTACTTCGACTTTAACCTTACTTTACTTTTACTTTCATTGCTTTACTTCGACTTTAACCTTACTTTACTTTTACTTTCATTGCTTTACTTCGACTTTAACCTTACTTTACTTTTACTTTACGTGTAAAGAAGGGGATGAGGGGAGGTGGTTGCGTGGTCTGGAGATAGGGTGTTCGCATCGAGTGCTAGAGGTCTTGGGTTCAAGCTCCGGTAGTGAGATCAGACGCCTGTGTGAATTGTGCAGGTAACAAAAATCCCTCGGCACTTGGAAATCGAAAAGAGTAGCCTAACAGCTGCGCGGTCAAAATTTGGAGTTAAAAATCTACCCCAAATATTTCAGGATCCTAGCGGGTGCTACAGAGAACGTGCACTGCACTGAGCTACTTCGGACTCAGACGTGAGTTCAAAGTAGAACGGAGCACTTATGGGTTACTATCCGTGTGCCACGGGAGTCGCCGGATCGGAAGGTGGTGGGTTCGCTCCCTGGCGGAGCCAAACTTTTTTTCAAAAATAACCTTGGCTCCCAGGTCGACCTAGCCTTGAGTGGGTACAGGGTGCAGTCCCGGGAGTAGAAGCGGCTGACGTGATGCTGACCATATCACCCATCTTGTGCCGATTGGTCTGTAAAGTATGTCTAGCCCTATATGCCCTATACGCCTAAAGGCGTGGAAAGGAGTCCTTTACTTTCCACCCGTGTGCCATGATGTTGATCCGTTGTTGAAACCTCAAACCTCCTACTTTAAGTGTGCTATGACTTTACTGTGCTTTCCTTTGTTTTACGTTACCTTATCTGACTTGACTTTATTTACCTTGTGCCTCCCTTTGTTTTACGTTACCTTATCTGACTGGACTTTATTTACCTTGTGCCTCCCTTTGTTTTACGTCACCTTATCTGACTTGACTTTATTTACCTTGTGCCTTCCTTTGTTTTACGTTACCTTATCTGACTGGACTTTATTTACCTTGTGCCTCCCTTTGTTTTACGTTACCTTATCTGACTTGACTTTATTTACCTTGTGCCTTCCTTTGTTTTACGTTACCTTATCTGACTTGACTTTATTTACTGTGTGCCCCCCTTTATTTATTGTGGCTGGCTTGAGAATCAGCTGTACACACATGTCGTGATTGTAACCGAGTCACAGAGCATGTTGAGAAAGGCAAGAACAGGTCCTCTCGGAGCTGAGTGGCAAGCACTGCTTCACGGGTCTCAGATAGTTAGCGGTCCTTGTGCTATTTCTCCAAGTGTTGTTTTTTAGGGAGGGAGGGGGGGGGGGGGTGGGGGGGGGGGGGGGGGGTGGGGCAGGAACAGCGGCTGGTCAAACAGTTGAGAACGCTGAGCTCTTATGCGGGATATCCAGGTTCTAGTCCTCGGTAAGGTTAGAAATTTTGTTCTGTGGAGGGGCAAAAATTAAAATCCTACCCTGCACAGTCCGTGGCGACAGCATTGGCTATAAGGTCATAAATCCCCAGGTCCAAAGAGTTCCCTGACTGCACCGCAAAAGTGGTATATATAGACAGGTAATGAAATTTCTCTTCAGTTGTCACACAAACTAGTATTTCTGTAGTTGTCCCACACACTAGTATCTCTGTAGTTGTCCCACACACTGGTATCTCTGTAGTTGTCCCACACACTATTATCTCTGTAGCTGTCCCACACACTAGTATCTCTGTAATTGTCCCACACACTAGTATCTCTGTAGTTGTCCCACACACTAGTATCTCTGTAGTTGTCCCACACACTAGTATCTCTGTAGTTGTCCCACACACTAGTATCTCTGTAGTTGTCCCACACACTAGTATTTCTGTAGCTGTCCCACACACTAGTATCTCTGTAGTTGTCCCACACACTAGTATCTCTGTAGCTGTCCCACACACTAGTATCTCTGTAGTTGTCCCACACACTAGTATATCTGTAGTTGTCCCACACACTAGTATCTCTGTAGTTGTCCCACACACTAGTATCTCTCCAGTTGTCCTACACACACACACACACACACACACACACACACACACACATACCTTATTACCTCTAGTTAGCACACACACATGAAACATGAACACATCACTTACCTGGGCACCGACCTCACACACATTGATAAACTCATGTTTCCTGGTTTTGGAGGGGTCAAAGGGCACCTTCCAAGTGGCGTTCAGGTAGAAGACACTGATGCCCGTCACTGATGTTTCCGGGGTGATGAACCCTAATGTCAACAAAAACAACATTAATAAATGGCGCTAATAGTTGTAGCGGATCCGCTGTGGTGTAGCGGCTATATTCTTGCCTGTGGATTGGAAGGTCGAAAGGTTCAGGACACACGGAGCACACATGGGAATTCCCTGAGTGCTGTGATGCCAATTCCTGGCAACACAACTCAGCTCAGCTCAACTCAACTCAACTCGACTCAGCTCGGGTCCGGATAAAGGCAGCCAGACTTTAGACAGAAATGACCTTGGCTCCCAGGTGTCGACGCAGCCTTGAATGGGTACAACAGTGAAGTCCTAAGAAGTAAAGGCGGCCGGCGTGATGGTGACCACATCCCCCCACCGAGTGCCGATTGGTCTGTAAAAATATAGGTCTAGCCCTATATGCCCAACACGACTGAAGGTGGGGAAAAGGGTCCTTTAATAGTTGTAGAGTTTTTTTTTTTTTTTTTTTTTTTAAAGATGACAGGGCTAGCCTTAGTATTGGGTTTAGGCTTGATCTAACTAAGCTACAGATTAGGCAGGCCCAGTGTTGCCACTTTGGGTGTTTTACATCCAGATTTAGAGGATTTTCCTTGCATTTAGATGGCGTTTTTGACGTTTAAATGGTAGATGTTTTTCTAGAGGTTTTTTTTTTATTTACAGTGAATTTATCAAATCTAACCTAAGAAACAGGATGCAATTTGACCTCTTAAATGCTATCTTGACAATAAAATTCGGCATGATAAGAGTAGGAAAAGGCTGTTCCACTTTTCAGCTCCCTAATTGGGTATGAAAAGAAAATGGAGCAGCTTTAGCATACCAGAGTAATTTTGGATCTGAAGCTTCAACTTCATCATCCAAGCTAAATTTATCCTGTGATCTTGTGAGGCAGACTTCAGTAAAGATGAGGACATGATTCTTTAGGGTAAGTCATATCAATTGCTAGGTAATTTGTGACTCTTTCCATCTGGATGTTTTTTCTAGATGTTTTTCACGCACATTTAGATGTTTTAGATATTTTTGACTCCGTTTTGGATGTGTTTTTTTTGGTCAAAGAAAAGAGACAACACTGGGCAGGCCCTCACCACATATAGGGCCCTCACACTCTGCAGAGTGAGAGACGGAGCTACATAAATACACTGAAGTGTATCCTCTAGACATTAACCCCTAATAACACGTGTCCCTATCGACCAATGAAACTGACCGATTTTCTGCAATCTGGATCCTGTCTATAAGTATTTTCCGTCGATTATATATAGGCGCCTCTTTCGCTAGTATGTCCTTAACAACTGTGATTGCTATATATGAGAGTAATAGTTGGTTCGCTTTTGTTTCCACCGACTCTTCCTAGTCTGTTCAACTATTTAACTAGTCGACTATAGAACTGTTAACAACAGAAACCGGTCTAGGCAGGAGCGTACACTACACATTAATTTCCCTACTAGAACCAAACAACTAGCAGGAGAAGACAGAGGGCGACCAATATACGAGAGCTACAGGGTTATCCGCAACAAAGATGATGATGATGATAGGGTTGTGTGTGTGTGTGTGTGTGTGTGTGTGTGTGTGTGTGTGTGTGTGTATATATATATATATATATTAAGAGAGAGAGGGAGGAGGGGTAGGGGCCCATCCCAGCACTCAACACCTCTTCTTACTACAGGCTTGAAAACGATAAGCCATCGAGGCATTGTGCTCCTAAAACGGGTCACCAGGCAAAAAAAAAAGTTTTTTTTTTTTTTTTTAGGGAGGTCGCTTTTGAATCAACATTGACCTTAGCTAACAAACCGCCAGCTAGGGAGAAAAAAACAACAACAACAACAACTGATGACAATTGACCTTGTAGGAGGACCCGCCAGCCTGTAGGAACCTCTAGCCTACAGGAAGCTTGCAGCAGCCTTGCAGCCTACAGGAAAATACTGTTGATTTGTACATGCAACACTACTATGGCATTAGAGCTCAAATGCTATAAAAAGATTCTCAGAATATCTTAGACAAGGAAGAGGAGAAATACTGACATCTTGAAAAATCTGAACATCAAAAAAGATTGGCTAATAAACAGCATCCTGTCTCGGAAGCTAAAATAGTTTGATCAAACCAAGCGCCACCACGGATTGGAAAACAAATAGCAGAAGGCATGGTACCAGGAAGGAGGGACAAGGGGCCGACCAACACGAAGATAGGCACAAAATAGGAGTGACTCCTTGAGTATGAAAGTACATGAGGTAGGAGAACTGGCGAAAGACAAAGTTTCTTTCAGGCAGACCGTGATGAGAGCGACGTTCTGCAAAAGACCTGCTGCATGATGATGATGATGAACTCTACTATGGACTGCTACATGATGATTAGGATGTGATAAGAGCGATGTTTTTAAAATACCTGCTCCCTGATGATGATGGTGATGATGATGATGGTGATGATAATGGTGATGATGATGATGATGATGATGATGATGGTGATGATAATGATGATGATAATGATGATGATGGTGATGGTGATGATGATGGTGATGGTGCTGATGATGATAATGGTGATAATGGTGATGATGATGATGATGATGATGGTGATGATGATAATGATGATGATGATAATAATGATGATGATGGTGATGATGATGAGGAGGAGGACCTACCAGACGGTAACAAGCCTGGGATGTAGCCTAGAGTCTTCCTCTCCACAAACTCGTTGATGGGCCGCTCTGGTCCTCCTACGGCCACGTAATCATACTTGCCCACGCCTGTGTAGAAGAAGACCTTCAAGGCCTCCGTGTATTTGACCAGAAGGGGTGTTGTTGGCGGCACTAAGATGAAGTTCAGGGATATTATTCGGTATTCGGGCAGGCAGTAGAGCTACGGAGGGGATCAAATCAGTGTTAGTCATCTCAGTCAATAAACTTGTCCATAAAATCAGTCAGTAAAATCACACAGTATAATCAGTCAGTAAAATCATTTAGTGAAATCAGTCAGTGAAATCAGTCAGTGAAATCAGTCAGTGAAATCAGTAAAAGTAATCAGTAATATCAGAAAAATAAGTCAGAAAAATCAGTCAGTGAAATCAGTCAGTGAAATCAGTCAGTGAAATCAGTAAAAGTAATCATTAATATCAGAAAAATCAGTCAGTAAAATCAGTCCCAAAAAAGAACAAGGAATTTGCGGTAAGTAAAATCATGAAAATCAGTTAGTAAAATAAGTCCGTAAAATCAGAAAATTCGGTCAGTAAAATCAATCAGTGAAATCAGTCAGTAACAGAAAAGAAACAGAAGAAATATCTCTATTGTTCTTGTGATTCCATCGCTAGGGATGACGATCACTGTCATCTAAAGAGCGACTTGCGCAAGGACTTGGATTCTAGTGAGGAAGAGTTGCGCACTGACATGAAAAGCGCACAAACGGGCACTTTCCCGTAAATTATAATGCCTCTCGACAAGGCTCAAGATTAGAAGAGTTGATAATGAGATAAGCTGAGGTAAGATGAGAAGAGATGATGATGGTGATGAGATAAGTTGAGGCATATGAGAAGAGATGATGATGATGAGATAAATAAAGGTAAGATGAGAAGAGAAAAAATGATGATAGTGAGATAAATTGGGGTAAAATGAGAAGAGATGATGGTGAGATAAGTTGAGGTAAGATGAGAAGAGATGATGATGATAATGAGCTACGTTGAGGGAAGATGAGAAGAGGTGATGATGATGAGATAACCTGAGGTGAGATAAGAAGAGATTAAGACGATGATGATGAGATAAGTTAAGGTAAGAAGATAAGATATGATGATGATGAGATAAGTTGAGGTAAGACGAGAAAAGATTATGATGATGATAATAAGACAAGCTGGGGTAGGACGAGAAGAGATGATGATTATAAAAAAGATGAGGTGAGAAGAGAAGAGATGATGATGAGATAAGATAAGGTAAGATGAGAAGAGATGATGATGAGATAAGATGATGTAAGACGAGAAGTGATGATGATGAGATAAGATGATGTAAGACGAGAAGAGATTATGATGAGATAAGATGATGTAAGACGAGAAGAGGATGATGAGATAAGATGAAGTAAGATGAGAAGAGATGATGATCAGATAAGATGATGTAAGATGAGAATAAACGATGATGATGAGATAAGTTGAAATAAGATGAGAAGAGATGATGATGAGATAGGATAAAGTAAGATAAGAGATGATGATGAGATCAGATAAAGTAAGATGAGAAGAGATGATGATGAGATAAGATAAAGTAAGGTGAGAAGAGATGATAATAAGATAAGACGATGTGAAATGAGAAGAGATGAAGATAAGATAAGATAAAGTAAGATGAGAAGAGATGATGATGAGATATGATAAAGTAAGATGAGAAGAGATTATGATGAGATAAGATGATGTAAAATGGGAAGAAATGATGATGAGATAAGATGAGGTTAGATGAAAAGAGATGATGAGATAAGATGATGTAAGACGAGAAGAGATGATGATGAGATAAGATGATGTAAATGAGAAGAGATGATGATGAGATAAGATGCTGTAAAATGAGAAGAGATGATGATGAGATAAGATGTGGTAAGAAGAGAAGAGGTGATGAGATAAGTTGAGGTAAGATAAAAAGAAATGATGATGAGATCAGTTGAGGTAAGATGAGAAGAGATGATGATGACGATGATTATGATGATGAGATACGGTGAGGTAAGATTAGAAGAGAGGATAATGACGATGAGATCAGTTGAGGTAAGATGAGAAAAATTATGATGATGAGATAAGATGAGACGAGATGAGAAGAGATGACGATGATGAGATAAGATGAGGTAAGATGAGAAGCAATAATGCTGATGAGATAAGTTAAGGTAAGATTAGAAGGAAAAGTGGAATACCTCTCTAATGAGGATTCGATATCCGTTATAAACATAGTCTCGAGGCAGCGAGGCGATGCCTAAAGTCCGCGAGAGTTCTTCATAGGTTGCTCCCGTCGCTCCGAGTGTGATTATGGACAAGACGGTATGGATGCTGATGGGAAATACAAACTGTCATTACCAGGACATCCTTCCCTCCTCCCCCCTCCATAGAAAAACGGTTCCGGTACTAACAAGGTACCTATTACAGTAGCAACTAAAATATTACCAAAATACGTGCCATTATTGCGTACCCCCTTGACTCCCAGGTCGACCGAGCCTTGAGTGGGCACCAGGCTCAGTCCTGGAAAGTAAAGGCGGCCGGCGTGATGCTGACCAAATCACCCACAAAGTGCCGATTTGTCTATAACAATATAGGTTTAGCCCTATATTCCCAATACGCGTAAAAGCATAGAGAATGGACCTTTTTTTCTAATTGCGTACCCTAGCGTACTTCTTATAAAAAGTCCGGTCTTAACTCATAGCTTCTTCTTCATCTTCTTGTTTTGTTCTTACAAATCCTTGTTGCAGTTTACAGCTAGGTTGTGCTATTTGCACTTTTCAGCCAGCATTTCCGGCATCAGTCTACCTTGATTAGTTTACGATACCCCCGTCTGGGTTCCGGGGCCCCATTGTGGGGAAAACAAGAATAGACCCACTGACTCCCCAAAAGCATGTCGTAAGTGTCGACTAATTGGGGAGCTTCCTTTGAAGTCGGAGTGCATCTGCCGGAGAGGTAAGGAACCAACAGTCTGTATTCAAGAGAATGAGATCTGTAAAACTGATGTACACGCAACACTCAGGTTCTGGAGCAGGACTGCAGTTCAGTAGTGGACGAGCAACCAGAACTTTCCGCCAAAATGTACAACTGGTGAACGCGAAGAAGAAGAAGAAGTTTACGACAAACTTGTAAAAGGGCAGTGCCCCCCCCCCGCCCCCCTTCCCCAGTGGGACCTAGAACCCTCACGGGGAGTTTACTCATTGCGTTTCGTGGACCGTTTCTTAAAAATCTCTTCAGACTTACCAAACTCCACGTCATGAAGTTAATTAGTTCGTTGGTTAGTTAGTTTGTCGGTTGATTTATCACACAGCTAGTTAGTTATTTAGTTAACCAATTAACTAGTTAGCCATTTGGCAAAACGTTAGCAAGATAAATAGATATACAGTCATCCAGTTAATTATTCCCATAAATAAACAAAGGGAAACCCCTGAGGCCGTTACAAGTTATATATTAATAAAGTAACAGACAATGTATTGCTCGGCACTTATAGAAAGATAAAATAACGCACTAGACAACATACAAATTGAAAGCTATAGTTACCAAGCCAGGAATCGAACTTGTCACCTCCAGACGGCGTGTGCGCCTCGCTATGGAAACAAGTATGCTAAGAACAGGCCGAATTAGACATCCCCCCCCCCCCCAAAAAAAAAAAAGGTGTCTTTTTGGCCATGTCTATCGTACAGCTTGGAATCCACAATTATGGAATACGTAACTATAGATTTATTTTTTTATGTTGTCTAGTGTGTCTTTCTATCTGTCTACTTCTTTCTATAAATGCCGATCAATACAGTGTAAGTTAATTATATAGTTGGTTAGTAGTACAAGCAGTTAGTTCCCAATAGTTTTGGCGAGGGTGGGCAGTACATGTCTTGATTCAGTCCCCTGAACCCGTAGTTTGGCCTTAGAAGCCTGTAGGTCCCGCAATGCCAAATCAGAACTATATGTTTCTCATTTCACCACCGTCGACCCACAAACCAAAGAGCAAAGAACCACGAGTCCGGTTTCCTTCCTTTCCGCTCCCTTTGATGGACAAAAAATTGTCACGTTCAACCAGCATCCCCGAAAGGGGAGCTTTAGTTGTGACTAGGTTATATGTCTGCCATATAAAATAGCCGAGCATTACACGTCACCAAGAGCCTTGAAAAGGACTCGCAGTGTTGATGCGATCAAGGAAGACAGACCCAAATACTGAGCCCGATCAGCGAGGAAGTCGTCTACCGGCGAGCCAATAGGCGACACGGTAATTATTGATTTTTTTTGGCCGGGCCTTCATAACCTCCACGATCACCGCAACTTCAGGAGAGTTCCGATCCGCAAAACTTGTCAGTTTCAGTTCGCAAGTGCAGCCAGATCAAAATTATTAATAGGCTGAACCTGCTTTCCCAGCCTATTATTTGTCTTGCGCTTCTTTTGTGGCTTAGGTGATGGTTTTGTTCATCCTTTTGCAGGTTTCTGCTACACCATTTGTCCATCTCTATCTGGGTCTTCCTCTGGCCTTCCTTCCAGATGTTCACTTGTAAAAAGTAAATAGTGCTTTACTGTGTCTTATTTTGGGTAATTTTTTAACATTACAGTTCTATACACTATGGATTCTGTTGGTAAAATTGCTGACATTGTTACGGTGAGGCACTTGAGTATTAAGAAATGACATCATACATTTTTGAAGGTAATACTGAAGTTATTGGAGTTAATGCAACATATACTGGTATAGTGTGCCTTATTTGGGGCACTGTTTTCCACATCACAACTCTGTTCACAGTCGATTCTTCTGGTTAAATTGCTGACAGTATTATGATGAGGCACTTGGGTGTCAGACAATGCCATGAACAAATTGTTAAACGATCACATTTGACTGTCTGCCACCGTTAAAAAACACATGCTCAGCCACACAATAATCTTTCTTCAATAGTTATCACTATTATAGCTAAGACCAAAACACCGATATGTAGCAGTGATATTATAAAATAACGGTTACATTACGCTTGAAAGGTGACGTAAAACACAGAATTAATTACGATGCGCTAAAAATTGATTTCTAAAAATTGACAGTTATGAAATATAGGTTAGGTTTCAGTTAGTCTCCCCAAAGTATGTCACGTTTCATTCACAAGTTTGTTGGGCTGGTCTACTTTCGTGCAGGTTATGGGTGTGCCGCTCTGTTGTTTGCTTTCTGTGTTGTCTTGCATTTACGTTTTTCATTCCATGAAAGATCATGCCTGTGTCATGGGTTGCAGCACTCTCTATGGGAGATGTGTTAGACCCAGTTTGTCCATGTTTTTGGAGTGTTAAAAGCGCTGGCGTGCTGAAATATACAATACGCGATATGAACGGCATTGCGGAACACCCCCGTAACCTTGTGCCAAGGTGACAGGTTCAGAAACTACCAAGTGAGCTAGTGTGTATATGGGCGGTCCGTGGGGGTGACTAACGTTAGTTTTACCCAATAAACACTGTATAGAACTGGTGTTACCTGTAAGGTGAGTAAGCAACTGTTGTCTCATTCAAGGCAATCTTTTGGAACAAAAGTTGGGAAAAGAATGACGAGGCTGAAGTGAGGGGGTGGATGTCGTGACCTCTCGCCGCGTTGACGACCAGGAGCAGCGTCAGACACAGCAGCGTTTGTTTCATTTTATTGCACCTGTAGATAAACAGCACACAGTTTCATTTTATTGCAGTTTGTTCCATTTTATTGCACCTGTAGATAAACAGCACACAGTTTCATTTTATTGCAGTTTGTTTCATTTTATTGCACCTGTAGATAAACATCACACAGTTTCATTTTATTGCACCTGCAGATAAACATCACACAGAAGAATGTTGCGAATACCTTAAGCTACCAGAATAATCAACAATTATTGCCTGGAAATGGCTAATGAAAATAGAACGTTATATACAACGATGTGAAGGAGACAAACACAGTTCTTCGGTCATATGATGAGAAAAAGAGCACTGGAAAATATCATGATGACTGGAAAGATCACTGGTAGAAGAGGCAGAGGCAGACCAAGAGAATGTTGGTGGATGGCTTAAGACAGTGGCACGGAGGAATATTATCAGTGGAGTTAATCTAGAACACCAAAGACCGAGATCAGTGAAGATGCATGAACGTCTCCCCCAGTTGGCAAGGCACCTGACGAGTGATGTTGATCTTCTATTGTGTCGAACCGGGAGTCCATGGTTATGTATATATAATGACAACAGAAGAGAAGTAACTTTACCAACTGCGTGTTACCAGTGCCAGGGGCCCCACTAGGAACCGTTGATGCTTCAAGCACTTACAAGATTTTGGGACCACCTCCCTCCACCTCTTGATGTTTGTTAGGCCATGACTGAGCCTTTCCTGATGACAGAGTCTCTCTTGGTCTTCCTGGGTTTTTGTATATTTCCAATTTATTTATATTTGACAAGTTGTTTTGATATAAAACTAAATGCAAACTCTTTGAGCAGATCCTCGAAGTAATGTTATGTAACACATCTGCTTCTATACGTAATAGATATAAGGCATTCAGCGTGCCTTGCTGTATGGTTTTTCTGGTTTGAATTTTTCAAATATACTTCAACCAAGAAAATTAACCCTTGGCTTTTAAAATTTGTGTGGTGCCCCTTTCCTTCGTGATACTCTAAGCAAGTGTTTAGTGTGCTTGTTGGTTAAATAGGTTCTAACAGTGCCAAACGGCCAACACTATGTTATCAGTGCCAAACTGCCAACACTATGCTATCAGTGCCAAACTGCCAACACTATGCTATCAGTGCCAAACTGCCAACACTATGCTATCAGTGCCAAACGGCCAACACTATGCTATCAGGGCCAAACGGCCAATATTATGCTATCAGTGCCAAACTGCCAACACTATGTTATCAGTGCCAAACGGCCAACACTATGCTATCAGTGCCAAACGGCCAACACTATGTTATCAGTGCCAAACGGCCAGCACTATGTTATCAGTGCCAAACGGCCAACACTATGTTATCAGTGCCAAACTGCCAACACTATACTATCAGTGCCAAACGACCAACACTATGTTATCAGTGCCAAACGGCCAATATTATGCTATCAGTGCCAAACTGCCAACACTATACTATCAGTGCCAAACGGCCAACACTATGTTATCAGTGCCAAACGGCCAATATTATGCTATCAGTGCCAAACTGCCAACACTATGCTATCAGTGCCAAACGGCCAACACTATACTATCAGTGCCAAACGTGGACACTTACATCCTCTAATGAACGTAAAATTGTGAGATGCAGGAGTTTCAAGGAAAGACAGAATACGAAATCATGAAATCAGACAAATGCTAGGAAAAAAGCCAGTCTTACAGGTCATCAAAGAACAACAAATGAAGTGGTTTGGACACCTAACAAGAATGCCCTGGTACTATCCGCCACAGCGAGCCACACTAAAACGTTACAACGGATATAGAGCGATTGGAAGACATCGGACAAGATGGAGTGATGGCATTAAGAACAGCCTTACAGAAATGAACATCAGTCTGAATAGTGCTCTTGACAGAGCTCATCAACGTACATTACATCTCCCCCCGACACTTCAATGAGATAGATACAAGGTGGAAGAGAAGAAAAAGAAGAAGTGCCAAACGTGGACATTAAAAAAAAAAAAAAAAAAACAGAACAGAAAATAGAAATAACTGAATGTAAAGCCTACGACGAATAAAAGATTATATAATATAATTTATGTGATTTCGTAGACATATTTTTTTTTTTTTTTTTTTTTTTTTGCGTTTAATAAAAATTTTATTAGAAAAGTTTTCAATTATCCGCCTTTTTAACAGGCTTGTATATTTCAAGTTTTATGAGATTAGCTTGTCTAATGTAAAACGATAAGGACCTAATAGTTTGGTATAGCTTCAGGCCTCAACAAGTATAACCCTGACACGAACACACATACATAAACTTAGCCAGTCTTAGTCGAAGCAGGGGCTGCATGGTCTCGGGGCATGGTGTCAGCCTCGAGTGCTAGAGGTTCCGGGTTAAATCCCCGGTAAGAGCTGGGATTTTTTCACGTGGACTTGGACTTCTAGTAATTCCCCCTAGTCTCTAGTTAATGAGATCGGACTCCCCTGAGCATTGTTGGGCACGTTGCCCGGGCAAAAATTTCGAGTTAAAAATCTACCCAAAGTATTTCAGGATCCTCGCCGGTGCTACAGAGCCTGTGCACTGTGCAGAGCTTCATCGGACTCAGACTTGAGTAAGAAACGAGCACTTATGGCCCCTGTGCCTTGATGTTGATCCGTTGTTCAAACTTCAAACTTAGTTAAGGTTGCAACCGCAATCGTGTTTCCCTGCTCGGTTCCTGTGCTAGTGAAAATCAATTAAAATGTCTCTCACTGTCCCAACTAAAAAAAAAAAAAAACAACAACAAAAGGTGAACAAACAATTAGTCCCGGAACTATCCAGCAATATGCGCAAGCAGTAAATGCAAATGGCAGTTACTAGAGATGCCAAAGCCAACATTCGCCACTAGAAATACAGTTTGCGTTGATGGAATTGTCAGGTACGATAAGTTAGCTATACACACATAAAGTTTTTCACTAGCTCACACGTAAACCGGCTACCGGCCAGATTGAATACCGTGACACAACCCTCGCACACAGAAAAGGCATTCCCTGTGAAAAACACAGCTCACAGTGCTGGACCAAGCACGAAACTCATATAGCTTAGGCAGCGAAACTGTATATAAACATACATAAGACTTCATAACTTCTTTAACCTGTTCATTATCCAACTTCTCATTGTCTGTTGACCGTTGCTCTCTACAGCAATGCATCAACAATGGCGAGACACTTGTTCAGCCAAATAGAATATCTCGACGCCTACATAAAAACAGCATGTTAAACTAACCCCTTATAAGAAACCCAGATATTAAACAAACTGTGGTGTTGCGGCTAGCGGCTCGCCTGCAGGTCAGAGAATGTCGTGGGTTCAGATCATGACAGAATCGGAACTTTTTTTTTTTAAATGACCTTGGCTCCCAGGTAGACCTAGCCTTAAATGGGTACCAGGTACAGTCATGGGAAGTAAAGGCGGTCGACATGATGTTGACCACATCACCCACCGAGTGCCGATAGGTCTATAACAAATAGATCTAGCCCTATATGCTCAGTCCGTCTGAAGCTAGAGGGAAAGAGCCATTTACATACATTTCTGAAATTGAATTTGAAAGAGGCTTTACTAAGAAAACATTTTAATCGGCCAGCAATCGGTTAAGACTGAAAAAAGTTACAAATTCAAATATGGCACTGTTCTTTGGCCACGTAATGAGAAGAGAGACATTGGAGAACATTGTGACAACTGGAAAGATCAGTGGAAAAAGGGATAAAGGCAGACCAAGGGAGATGATGCTGGATGGGCTAAAACGATGGCATAAAGGGACATCATTAAGAGAGCTGTTTCAATCAGCCGGGAATCGTGTTCTGCGGAGACGCATGAGCGCCTACGCCAGGTGGCAGAGCACAGGATAATGATGATATTAATGCTAACATAGGATTCAGCACTTTTTTTGAGGCCGCTCAGTAGATTTAGCTCTCGTTGGCAATATTGCTTAGTCGGGCCTTATTCTCTTCCACGGCATGCCTCTCGTACCACGCACCATAAAGTCACTAGAACCATCGTTTTATCAGCCACCCGCATGAGAATCAAATCCTACGAGGATCGAGGATTATAGAGTCGAGAGGATCGAGGATTGTAAAATCGAGAGGATCGAGGATTTTAAAGTCGAGTGAATTAAGGATTGTAAAGTCCAGAGGATCGAGGATTGTAACGTCGAGTGGATTAAGGATTGTAAAGTCCAGAGGATCCAGGATTGTAAAGTCGAGAGGTTCTAGGATTGTAAAGTCCAGAGAATCTAGGATTGTAAAGACGAGAGGTTAGAGGATTATAAAATCCAGAGGATCAAGGATTGTAAAGTCCAGAGGATCGAGGATTCTAAAGTCGAGAGGATCGAGGAATGTAACGTCGAGAGGATCTAGGATTCTAAAGTCGAGAGGATCGAGGATTCTGAAGTCGAGAGGATCGATTTTATTCCCCGGGTTTTATTCCATATAGCTCGGCATCTCTCCACACAACGGCTAGCAGACTTCTGAGATAGCAGCCTAAAGCACAAACACAGCAGCTCAGGCGACGATCAACGGGATCCTCATGGAAAATTACACTCGAGAATGGAAAGCTTGTTAACTTGTAAGCCACAGAATCGCACCTCTACGCGGTATGAGCTGTTTAAAAACCAGAAAAGGAAAAATAAAAAATATAGGAGAATGAAGGAAAGGAAGAAAGGAGGAGGAGGAGAAGGGAGAACAGAAGATGAAATAGAAGAGGTAGCAAAATAAAGAGAGACAACACGATGATAATGACGATGATCGTGACGATAATCATTGTTAGGACGATTATGTGGACAGTCATATTGACAGTCATATTGACAGTCATATCGACAGTCACATTGACAGTCATATTGACAGTCATGTTGACAGTCTTGAAGACACAAAAACAAGAGGTAGAAAAGAAATGTGCTGCATTAAGGAAAGACACAAAAATAACGACTATGATGCTGCCCAGTGAATTAAAATTAAAAAAATTTTTTATTGGAAAATAATTTGTGGAAGAGAACAAGA